CACATTTTCATGGACAAAGCGTGCTTTGAAGTGAAACAGTTGAAGATTCCATTCCAAAAAATTGTCAGATTGGATGAAACTGGCTCATAGTAATCATTTTTTGTCCTGTTTTTCATCTTTGTGATAAAGGACAAGGAACCATGGAGGAAATGAAAATAGGAAGCCTCATATGACAAGCTCATGTTGATGTCCTGAAAAGCTGTTGTGATCCAGACTTTTGCCCCCACTTGTTCCTTTCCAAGCATTCTTTGCATCATGGCAATTGGGAAACAGCCATAGGAAGAGTCTGCATAGGAAACAACAACATTGATTCGTTTCCATGCAACCAAGAGTTTACTCTGGGACAAAAAGGGTATAACAGTTCAAGGTAGTCTTTTTGTGAAGGCAACACAGATTCCACTGCTGATCATCGGAGGGGTCAAGGCATTCATGAACCTCTCTCCATTGTCTGTGTCTGGAGAAAAGAGACCAATCCACGTCCACTCGAAGAAGAGGAGCAATTGGATGATCCCAGGGAACTGGGATTCTTCTGTCGGGGCCATCCGGTCCACAAAAGGGAACCGAGCTCTATCATTAAAAACATCACCCACTACACCATAACTGATCTAATGAAGAAAGGAAGAGAGTGCTTTCTTCATTAGTATTGCTGGGGTTTGTTGTTGTTGTTGTTTGTCAGTTTGTTTGCAGATTAAGGACACACAAGAAACGGGAAGCCATGAAGGGGCAACAGGGCTGTGTCTTTAGCTGAAAAACATGGCAAGTCATATATCCAGGGTGGCATCATTGCCCAGACCTGGGTTGCTAGAGAAACTTCAAGGAAGATACTTCATGTCTCTTAGCCTCCCATCCTTTTAGTACTAATTTGTGCAGGGTGATGTGTTTGGCAGACAATTAACAAACCTCTGAAATCAGGGGAACACTGGAAGATAAGGAAAATGCCCTTGAACAAGGTACGCAGCCAACAAACCTGGGAGCCACATCTTGACTTTCTTTGGTTTCCATTCATTCACTGCTGTAATGAACAAGATGCAGAACATGTGCAGATTTGAGGATGTGACCCCATTAACTGTGGAGTCCTGGGGAGTGTCTGCACACACCTAGCACTGACACTAGACCTGACTTGGAACTTTCTCCAGACTCATTTTTAAGAAGTTGGCTTCAAAGCCCAATTATCAGTTTTGTTCATCACCAGAAGATGAGCTTCCCCTTTAGGTAGATGCACCCTGGAGTTGAAGGTTTGCCAAATCAGTGTTCAGCTCCCATTGCTGCACAGCTGTCCCCCATCCCCATTCATACCTGTGCTGTTTTGTAGATGCCTGACATGGATGAAATCAGTGTGGAGAGGTCCAATTCGGTCCCTTAGAGAACTGCCAGCAGGTTCATCTTGCTCCTGCAGCTGTAATTGGGAATCTGAGTTTCCCCACTTGCAAGCAGCTGCAGCATTGCATAGGAGGTGGCTTTCCCATCAAAGTAGGATTGATAGATGTTGTAGCCCAGGGTGATGTTGTACAAGAACTCTGGATTCTGGTTGATCTCTTGGGTAGTAAAAAGGTAGGCCAGTATGTGCCAGTACCTTTTACCAAACAAACTGCAGAACATTGAAGAAAAAGAAGAAATGATGCATTGCACCTCCATTCTCAATCCCTTTCTTGTATGCACCTAAATTCCTTGTCACACAATTGAAATCTCAGAAGTGCTGATCATCAATCTCCACATGATGGTCTGAATATTTGTATGGTCCAAAAAACATATCCTTGTTGCAAGGTAATTAATTTTCTGGGGCAAAGTATATCATCTAGCTTCTCTCTTGCCTAAGAGAGCCACCTGTTTCCAAACAGACACTGTACAGAAAGAGAGGGGTAGCATGAAAGTCCCTTGAGGTGAAATGAATGAAATAAGCCAGTCTTGTCAGTCCATGAGAAGTCGTCTGAAATGTTGAACTCCTATGGATAAGCTATTTCACCCCATGTTGATCCCAATATTTGCACAGGTCATCCTCAGACAGGTGTGTTCTGCACTGCGGGATTTCAGCTTTGTCTGATGAATCATCACAACCATGGGTCACCACCCAATAATTTCTGCTTATAATGGGTGCCAGAGTCACACTTCCCACCTTTACCATAGTGTCATGACTGTGTTCCTATAGCTACACTGAAGTTGGAGGGAGAAGCTGTGTCCCCGCATTTGATTCAGACCACCAAGAAGAACCCATCACAGCTGCAGCCTGGTTTTAGCACAGGGTTTAAAAACACAGATTCTGTTTTTGCTTTGAGTTAAAACT